ATTGAGCTGTGTCAATTGCGTATCTATTTCAAAATAGCTTATTTTGAAATTGGGAGCAGCTACACAGCACTTATTTCGAAATAGAGCACTCTTCCTCCAACTTCGTGCAATGAGGGTTACAGGAGTCAGAATAAGATGTCTGCCTGCTGTGTAAACACAGACTAAATACTTCAAAATAATGTTGCTGTGTAGATGTACCCATAGTGTTGAGTAAACAATATACAAGTGCAATAATAATAATGTATGTTTATAGAAAAGAAATATCCATGCAAAATAGAGGGATTGGAACCCTTATAGTGGACTTAAAATGTGTTCGCCTGTAGCAGCCAGGGCTTTTCATGCAGTATGCTGTTCCACAGTACCAAACACCCAGTAAAATCTACCTTTTCTCGGGGTAATTCTCAGAACAGCAGTTAGCTCCTCAATCAAATGTGTTCACATATTTCAAAGCATCCGAGGCTAAAAGGAGGGAGCTTCCTCATTTTGGAAAGAAACTATGCCTATGGTCTTGGAATCTTTTCGTTTGAAGCACTGAAAGATTTACTTATGTGCTCAAATACCATGATGAGCGGTATAGCATAAACTATCTAGCTGAATAGACTCAGTGAAGCATTTTAAAATGAAAACAAAAGTTCAGAAGTGCCAAGTGAAGGGATCACTCAAAGAAGTCTTCCTCTAAGCTAGCAAATGAACCAAAATATGTTAAAATAGGGGTAAGTAGGAGGGGCTCGTGAGATCAGGGATTCATAGAATCCCTATCAGAATGAGATAGTAGCCCAGAGGTGACATATTGACATAATGAGTAGTCAGTAGAGGGTGAAGGTCATTTCAGCCCACGTGTTCTGTAGTAATTGTCAGTAAATCTCAGTATTTACTAATAGTTCTTTGAGATGTTGTCATGGGTTTCTTGAAGAAGGCTAATACAGAAGATCTGAGAGCCAGGCTCTGGATAATAATGACAATTTGTGACTCGTTATGGTAACAACTATAAATAAATTAATGTTCTGTCTAACTTTTAGCAATCAGATATCAACATACAGAACCCATGACAGCAGTTGGCAGTAGCTAGTGCCCTTATAGGCGGTCACTGCAGAGAGACTAAAGACTGAAGGGGCATGGAGACAGAGCTTCAGTCTCAGGATTACATGGTGTCACAGTTCAGGGCAACTGAACTTGTATTCACTCTTCATGATCCAGCAATGACAGCCACTCTTAGATTTCCAGCTGCTCGGCCTTCATCTCTCTTGGGTTCGGATGTGAAGCCCCTGACTATATTGTGATACCCCCCACCAAAAAACCACAAACTGCCTAAGCAAGTCTACTTAACTTCTCTTCTCAGAGAGAATGGGCTCGCAATTCCAACGTCCCTGTAAACCCCATTCCATAAGGAGTAAGGGATGTTTTGGAATAGCAATGTATTTCAAAATAAGTGCAGTGTAGACAGCACCAAATTTTGAAATAACATTGAAATAAGATCCACAATTTGCATAGCTTAAATTGCGTGTCTTATTTTGACCCACGGGGCAGTGTAGATGCACCTTAAAGGGACCTAAAAAGCTTTTCAGATATCACTTCCTCACTCCAATCACAGCATTGGTTAGTGATTAGTCTTTCAACCCCACGTAAGAGATTTTCTTACTTCCTCAAGTTCATGTCACCATTGGCTCAGAACTGACTCCCATGTCTTATGGGGCCTAAGTGGGGCCAAAGACTTGAGTTCTTTTACTGTTTTAACTCAAGTTGTTTAACATCTACTCGTTGGCTACGTCTACACTGCTTCCCTCTTCCGCAAGAGCCTATGCAAATGACGCATGGATTAACATATTGCCACACTTCATGTGCATAATTAATTAGGGGTCATTTTTGCACAAAAACCTCTTGCGCAAAATGGCTCCTAATTAATTATGCAAATGAAGTGCGGCAATATGCTAATCCACGCTTCATTTGCACAGGCTCTTGCAGAAGAGGGAAGTAGTGTAGACGTAGCCCTAGTCTCAGAGAACCATAGAAAAGCCAAAAAGGAGCCGTTAGATCATCTATTCTGACTTCCTATAGAGCACAGCCCACCAAAAGCATCCAGCATCTGTAATGAGAGTGTTGTTTTACAGCCCATAGGAGACTAGACCATTATGTGCCATAGGCAGAGAGTGAATAGCACCAGTGCCTGAGACCCTGCAATGACAGGGAAATGATGAAGTGTGATAATATCCAGATAGTCCTAGAAAGTGTCCCACCCTTACCCGCTGCAGAGGAAGGTAACCATGTGCTGTTGCTCCCTGAAGAATCTAATTTGAACCAGTATATGTGTGAGCCTCTCTCCAAGTGGTAGTCGCTCTCTGGAAGCCTAAGTGAATTTGCCTAGTCACCCCCCACTGGTGTTAGTTCTTGGAGATCTATTGTTACCCTCCCTCCATGGAATTTTGTACAGTCCCTCAATAGTACATAAATATTTCCATCTTAACACAATGAACACCTAAAATACTTACACATAAGTCAAAAGGTTTAACTTAGTTCAGTAAGGTTTGTCTAGGATATTGTCATTTCTGTCACACATGGTTGTTCCATGTTAAAGTTCACACACATTGGGGAGAGAACATGCACCGCTCCTAGTTAAGTGGTACATCCTTAGTGCTCTCAGTCCAACATGTTCCAACTGTTCATCTGACCAGTGTAACAGATTGCTCCTTTTCTCTGTCTGCCTCCTTACCTCCATTTGTAAAATGGGGCTAATGATGGAGAAATCTTGCGGAAACAGCTTGGAGACCTACTAATGAGAAGCACTGCAGCAGAGCCAGGGGTATTATTACTAACTATCAGTCTGCTCGCTCGTTCTCTTTCTGACTTGTCCGCAACTTTTCCCCATGTCTCCAGTGACACTAAATCCTCAGCTGCTTGCTACTACAATCAAGCTGCCTCTGCCAAAGCAGAGTATCATGTGCAAGCTGCTTTCCTTTCCAGCTGCATCTTTGGGTTTGTCTAGACTACCGAGTTTTGTCGACAAAAGTGGACTTTTGTCGACAAAACTATACCAGCGTCTACACTGCCGCTGAGTTCTGTTGACATAACGTCGACAGAACTCAGCAGTTTTGTCGACGCTGGTAAACCTCATTTTACAAGGCATAACGCCTTCTGTCGACAGAGTTCTGTGGACAGAAGGTGTTATTGCATGTAGGGTTGTGTCTAGACTACAGGGTTTTGTCGACAATGCAGCTTGCTTTGTCGCCAGAACTGAATGTAGTCTAGACGCTCTTTGTCGACAGAAGCTTTGTCGACAGTATCTGTCGACAAAACTTCTGTCGACAAAACCCTGTAGTCTAGACGTACCCTTTATGACTTCTTAGAGTGCCCATCAGTCTGAGGAGCAATAAGCACTGCAGCATACTGTGCTGCATGAGAAAGCATGGGGATGCACTGGAAACCAATAGCAGGGCAGCAGAGTAGCAATATACATGGTAAATTTACAGTGCTCTGGCTAGATAAAAGAGATATCCCAGGCCACCAGGATAATGAGTAGGCACAAAGGCAGATGGTAAGAGGGAGCCAATGATCTAGGGAGAGAGCTGTGATCTGACAGGTAGGAAATGGACAGTTCAGAGAGATGCACCCAAAGCATTCACATGGAAGCTCCAAACACCCTCCATAGTGTTTAGGACGTTTTTGCTGGTAAGGTTCAGACTCACTTGTAAGATATGGTGTGCAAAGCTGAAGCCCTAGAGCACCTTCCTTCAAGTTCCTGAGCAGGAATTTGTTAATTAAATGGCAGTTTTATATAAGGATAGAATGATTTCTGCCAGATTGTTTGACCTATTTGCATCAGGCCTGAATCTGATGCAAGGTATTTTAATAGATCTTGCCAGTGTGGAAACCAAATTTACTATAGTGCCGGTCAGCGAAATGCCTGTTATGTAAAATATTCTTGCACCAGAATAGTGTTAATTACATCGACACTCTGTTGCAAAGAGCAGACTGCACGTCAGACCCTGAAATCCTATCAAGCTATCCTTTTGATATACTAATGAAAGAGAATTCAGCATTTCTTAACAGCATTTTAAAATCCTGTTATTAGCAGACAATGAAGAGGCATTGGGCATTTACTACTTAGCAAGACCTGAGGCTTAACGAAACAGATCATAATATTTCTCTGTCAAGCTTATTTATAATACGTTTTGTTCTGTTATATTGAACTGTATCCGAGGCCATAATTTGTAGTAAAATGTCTAATTTTACTTCCTGTGGCCATGGGTTTGCATTTAGATCCCTTTCTAAAAATCTCCACTACGTGATTTTAAAGGGATAAAGTATTGAGCTCCACCTCTAGGCTTTTATGAAACTCATGTTTCATGAACTCCACAAAATTGTGTCACACCAGCTGAGAGTTAACCATAAAAGTAAAAGATAATAAATGGAGGGGAGGTGGAAATTCTGAAAATGCTTTTAACAAAAACATCAACTGAAATTTTAATGACAGTATAAAACAGGTTGTTTGAGGTTTCAAAAAGGTGATCAAGAATTCTAATCTCACAATAATACAACAAAGCTAGGCTCAGAAATAGGCAGAAAAATGAATACATTAATAGGCCACAATTGAACATCAATAATAATATTATTTCCTGGGAAACGTGCTACCTTATGCCAATTATTTCTGGATCTGGAAATTGCCTGAAAACCAAAGAGTGGTGTTCACTAACGTCTGGATCCAAAACTCATTTAAGTCAATAGGAGTCTTTCCATAGACCACGGCGAGATTTGAAAGAAGCCCTTAGAATATGAATGTGTTTATACTGATACACATATCCTTTGAACGGAGTATTTATGACATTTCTATTGACATCAGGATAACTTTACACCAATGTAGTTCGTCAAGCAGAGACCTCGGCTCTTGTTTTACTGTTCCTAACTGGAGTGGGCATGGCAGTAGAGAGGCAGTTTTATACAAGGAAGAACTGCTTTTATGTCACTCTTATGTTTTCTGTTTTTTTTTTACCCTTTTATGTGTGCAGGATTCTGGAATTGACATTGGTGATATCTCTGAGAGGAAGGCCCTGAGAAAAAAACTTCAGTGCAAGACCTTTAGGTGGTATCTTGTCAGTGTGTATCCAGAAATGAGAATGTACTCAGACACTATCGCCTATGGGGTGGTAAGGATACTGTTTACCTTAATTAATAAAAACAAAGTAACAGTGGAGGTAATTCATGCACACAGTGCATAGTTCCAGACAAGAGCCAGACCAAACTGAGAGTCAGTAGTTAAACTGACTGATTAGTTGATGAGACCGTGGTACTATAGTACTTCACGCAAATACATTCCTATGCATCCTTTTCTTTTCTTGTTCTTGTCACATATTTTGTTAAAGTGAAAGATTTCAGCTGTATAATTTATGGGAAGCTACAAAGCTGTTGGCTAGAAAATATGGTGAATACAGGGGCTGTGTCTACACTGGTGCGATCTTGCACAAAAGCGGCCGCTCTTGTGCAAAAACTTACTGCCTGTCTACACTGGCCGTGTATTCTTGTGCAAGTAAACTGACTTTTTATAGTATGAAATCAGGGCTTCTTGCGCCAGAACACTGATGCTCCCACTTAGGAATAAGTTCTTTTGTGCAACTGTTCTTGCGCAAGAGGCCAGTGTAGACAGGCAACATGAATTTCTTGTGCAAGAAAGCCCTATGGTTAAAATGACCATCAGAGCTGTCTTGCGCAAGAGAGCATCTCCACTGGCATCTACTCTTGCGCAAAAGCACATGCCAGTGTAGACACTTTCTTCTGGAAGAGTTTTTCTACAAGAACTCTTCCACAAAAGAGTTCTTGCCCAAGAAGCTGCCAGTGTAGACGTAGTGAAGTAGTCTGTGTGAATTAGTTTTTCACATATACGTGCCTTACTGTAATATCAAAATCATGTATCTAGAGGCTCAAACAGATATGTATGCACCTAAGGATTACCATCATCTTTGAATATTATTGCATATTATTTATGTTACACTAACTCCTACTGGCCACAGTTGAAATCAGGGCCTGTTTATGCTTGGCCAGTGTACTAAAACATAGAAACAGTGCCTGCCTCGAAGACTTGAAAACCTGAATGGAGCAGAGAAACAATAAATAATAGGGGAAATAAGTGCAGCGAGGTGAAGTGATTAGAACAGCTTGCTGACAGAACCAGAATCAGAACCAGAACCCCTATCCTGATTCCTACTCCAGTGTCTCATGCACTAGCCTGCACTGCCTCCTGTGAATGAAAGTAATCTCTCTGCACTCAGATCCTACTTTCGAAGCACAATGTTACCCCAATAAATGCAGATCTTTAATAAAACTTTTGGATGAAGACACCCTGGTTGGAAAAAGTTTACCAGTGTGGTTCTGTGGAGAACCAGTGGAATCCTCTACAAGAGTAGCACATTTTAGGAAATAGGATGGCTCTGTACTTGAAAGATATTTTGGAATTTATTTGACTGATTTGCATGATCAATTGAAATTATAGTGCTGGCTTTTCATGCAAATCAAATAAGGTATGTCTACACTACCCTCCTAATTCGAAATAGGAGGGTAATGTAGTCATACCACAATTGCAAATGAAGCCCGGGATTTGAATTTCCCGGGCTTCATTTGCATAAGCGGGGCGTCGCCATTTTTAAATCCCCGCTCGTTCGAACCCCGTGCCGCACGGCTACACGGGGCACGAACTAGGTAGTTCGAACTAGGCTTCCTAGTTCGAACTACCGTTACTCCTCATTTCACGAGGAAAAATACCGGACTGTCTGGGTCAATACTGGACACCTGCAAATGAAGCCCGGGAAATTCAAATCCCGGGCTTCATTTGCAATTGCGGTATGACTACATTACCCTCCTATTTCGAATTAGGAGGGTAGTGTAGACATACCCATAGAGAAGAAGAACCCACCAAAAAATTATAAGGCAGGCCCCAGTGTGAGGAAAGTGACTTGACTGAAATTGTGCTATATTAGAACTGAATTTTGCTCAGATTTCTTTAGGGGAGATTAGGCTTCATAGTAAAGAGGATTATATTTCTCCTGTGAGGCATAGAAGTCTGGAGTATTTTTTATCACAGAAATAAATAGTAAGTGAGTGAAAAAGGAAATACAAAGTTGGAGTAACTGAGTTACTTGACACATCCTTCTTCGACTAATTCAACATTTATTTGACAGGTCACAGATGAAAAGCACAGAACAGGCTTTCCATGATATTCACTCTACTGAGTGCCTTTCAGCATCCAGTAAAGGATGCTGCAATACCAAATAAGCTTGGTATATAGCAAGAATGAGTGCTCATACATCACACTGTTACTAACATAGAAGTCCTCAGGATACTTTTGATCAATACATAAGTATTATTATGAGTATGTCAGAACAAGGGTCCTGCTAAAATTCATTGATAACAGCATGTCAATGCACTAATGGCCTCATAATTTAGTTGGGAGTTAGGGTTGGAAAGTCTTATTCCACTAAATACCTTGTATGTACTCCTGAAAATAATGGACTGTCTGACAAAGCATCTCTAGAGTTACAGAGGCTTGCAAGATACACTGCATTAAAAAATAAAAACAGGCTGTCACCTGATCTTCACTGAGGCTAGGTCTAGACTGCAGCGTCTTTGTGGAAAAAGCTACACAAAATGTGCCCTAGATGCGGCCAAATGGCAGAAATGCCTCCTTTTTCAGTGGATCCCTTATGCCTCATGAAACGAGGTATACAGGGCTCCCCAAAAGAGCACATTTGCTCTTCCATGAAAAAAAGCAGAAAAGCAAACACGTTCCTTGGACACGGCAGGGTTTTTGCAGGATACCTCCAGTATCCTTCAAAAACCGTGTAATCTGGACATAGCCTCATGAGAGAGTGGTATTTGGTTGTCTCTTCTGTTCTTTCTTCATTTCTTTTCTTCCACTTGTTTGTGAAGCTTGTGGAGAAGGAGGAAGTGCCAGGAAATGCAAATCAGATGCTAATTCACATTTTGAATATTGAAGTGCTTACCTCCCTGAATCACTGCTCTGCACTTATAAAACAGATCTGGTTTTCTTTGTTTTATAGGAGAATGGAGATTTTGTTGCCAGTAATGGGAAAAAATTAAAATGCTGCATAATTACAAAAGGAAATCTGAATTGATAGCTTTTTTCTTTATTTGGTCAGCTGGAGACTCAAGTGTTTCTAGGCTCCAGTGTAAGATTGTAAATTAGGGCACATCTACCTAGCAGCGTTATTTCAGAATAACTGACATCTGCATCTACACAGCAAGCAGCTATTTCAATATAACATTGAAATAATGCTGAACTGGAGGACTTCTTGCTCTGACTCCTATAACTCTCATTTCATGAGGAAGAGTAGGACTTCCTGCTATGTGGACAGCACCAAAAGTTGAATTAAGCTATTTTGACTTAATCTATGCAAATAGCATTGTTCAAGTTCCGTAGCTTATTTTGGTTTTTGCTCTGCTGTGTAGACGTACCCTTAGAGAACTAAACCATCTATGATGGAACTGGTTTAAGTCCAGTGGAGTAGGTGTGAACACTAACCATATGAAGTCTTGTTCTTTTGCCCTGCGTCCACACTAGTGCTGTTCTAAACCAGCTTATTTGAAATATCCTTTCAGGACCTATCCCACAGCTCAGAAAAGCAGTGTATGCTGGGAAATTTAAAACACCACTGGTGCACTTTGGGGGGGTGTCAAGACTACATGGCCTCGTAGAAAGAGCCATGTAAACTAGTTTACCCTACATAGTCATTTAAATCCCCGCTTCATTAAAATAAAAATGGCCGCCACTCTGTGCCGACAATCAGCTGATCTGGCACAGCGTGGCAGTCTAGACACGGCGCAGTCGACAAGGGAAGCCTTTGTCGACCGTTCCCTTATGCCTCGTGAAACAAGGTTTACAGGAGCGGTTGACAAAGGTATACCTTGTCGACTGATCTGCGTCTAGATTGCCGCGCTGTGCCGGATCAGCTGATTGTCGGCACAGTGTGGTGGCCATTTTTTTTAAGGAAGCAGGGATTATTTAAATCCCTGCTTCATTGACTATGTTGGCTAAACTAGTTTACATGGTTGCGTCGATGGAGGCATGTAGTCTAGACACACTCTGGGACAGTAGTGTGTGGACTTACTGAACTGTTTTATCTAGTTAATATCCACTCTGGCACTGAAAAGCCGAGAAGACCTGTAGCAGAAATGAGTCAAAAAGAGTTCAATAAGTCAAGAAGAGAGAAGAGGTTTATTCATTCAAACAATGTAAAAAGCATAAGAATAGCGATAATCTTGAATAAAGAGAAAAAGTAGTAAGAAGCAGTATTGGCAAAGGAATAAAATGGCAGCATTATGCCACTAATGTCAATAATAATGAAAGGAAGGATGATTTTGCAGTTAAGTCACTCAGGGTATGTCTACACTACAGAGTTAGTTCGAACTAACTTTGATAGGTGCTACACTAGCGCTCCGCTAGTTCGAATTAAGGGGGGTGTAGCCCCTTAATTCGAACTAGCTAGTTCGAACTAGGCTTAATCATCGTAAACTGAGGTTTACCTAGTTCGCACTAAGCGCTCCGCTAGTTCGAATTAAGGGGGGTGTAGCCCCTTAATTCGAACTAGCTAGTTCGAACTAGGCTTAATCATCGTAAACTGAGGTTTACCTAGTTCGCACTAAGCGCTCCGCTAGTTCGAATTAAGGGGGGTGTAGCCCCTTAATTCGAACTAGCTAGTTCGAACTAGGCTTAATCATCGTAAACTGAGGTTTACCTAGTTCGCACTAAGCGCTCCGCTAGTTCGAATTAAGGGGGGTGTAGCCCCTTAATTCGAACTAGTGGGAGGCTAGCCCCCCCCAGGTTTCCCTGGTGGCCACTCTGGCCAACACCAGGGAAACTCGTCTGCCCCCCTCCCGGCCCCGGAGCCCTTAAAGGGGCACGGGCTGGCTAGGGTGCCCATGCCAGGTGCAAGCCTGCCAGCACCCAGCCAGCAGATGCTGCCCCTGGCACGGATCGAGCCAGCCACCCGATGCCCCCCAGCCCTCCCCCTCTTCCCGGGACCAGGCTGGAGGCTCCCGGGAGCTTGCCCGGGACCGCAAGAGGCGGGCACCCGCCTGGGCTAGTGCGGACATCGTGGACCTCGTCCACGATGTCCGCACTAGGCACAGGAAAGTG